ACTGTCTGAATACTCTGTACTCTCTCAGTGATGTTACTTTCAGAATACTCTGTACCGTCTCTCTCAGTGATGATACTGTCTGAATACTCTGTACTGTCTATCTCAGTGATGTTACTGTCTGAATACTCTCTCTCAGTGATGATACTAACTGAATACTCTGTACTGTCCCAGGCCCAGATTCATGTGTGATGCCTCTGCTGTATCCGAGCCCAGCGGCACCCTGGACCCTGGGGGAGGGGGGTGGTGCTCCTCCCCCATCACCCCTCACCCCTCACCCCAGCAGGGATGACATCACCGCACCGCGGGCGCAGGGACAGGCTGAGCGAGCTGTTTTTACAGACTCATCGAAACGTGAAGCTTTCAGTTGCGCCTGTTCCCCCATTTGCATGAGCCCGTGAGTCACCACTCTCGCTCTCTGAAACCCATGCGCCCTTCCGGCCCGCCGCCGTCTGGGGGAGAGACGCTCACGTCTGCTCGACAGCGGCTGCAGGAGCACTTACATTCGGTTAGAAGAGTCTGTACAGGTCTGGTCACCCTGTAATAGCAAAGATGCTGCTCTGGGATCCAGAACAGGAGACACTTCTTTACGCAGAGGGGGGTGGGGGTGTGGAACAAGCTGCCCGGCCATGTTGTTGAAGCCGATACCCTGACTTTTCTCGAGACTCAGCTGGATGAGATCCTCCAGTCGGGACAGGAGGCACTGCTGTACACAGAGGGGGGTGGGAGGGGGGAACAAGCTCCCCAAGCACATTGTTGAAGCTGATACCCTGGCTCCTCTCAGGAAACAGATGGATGAGATTCTGGGAACAATTAGCTACTAACTGCTAGTCTGTTCAGAACTGAAGATATATACACAATGTCAACAACTCCCTCTTCAACAAGTTCTTTCTCCTTCCAGATCTCCAGTCAAGGACTGTCCCATGCAGTCACCAATCTCAGCACAACAGGTAGGGAGTCGGTAGTGTCCAATGTGTCTGTATTAACCCCTCTCTAACCTTTTCCCCACTATACACTTTCCTTCCTCTTTGTTCCTCGTCTCTGCTCTCCCTCTCTCTTGTAATGCAGGGGACAGATTTAAGCGTTGCGCTCAGCTGCCCTGTGACTCATGATGACCTCATCCCTTTTGTTCAATATCACTTCCTGTTTTATCCCTTGTGCTTCCTGGGGACAGCCCCTGAGACACAGAGACTAGGGGCATGAGAGGAGAGACCCACACAGCACTAACACACACCACTTCTAACTGACATGTGTGAGCAACATGACACACATAACCACAAAACACACTGACATGTTGAGACACGCACACTCCCACACACGGTGAAACAAACTCTCTCAGACAGGGAGA